GCGGGTCTCAAACCCACGGGCTCAGGCAATCCACTCACCTCAGCCTCCCAAAGCGCAGGATTACAGGCTGAGCACCGAGCCCGGCTCAACTCGCATATTTCTAATGATGCTAATTCGTAACTTTTAATTTCAGTGTCTCAGACTGAAGATGTGCAGTTTTACTAATCAGGTAAAGTGGAGAATCTCTGGCCCACTGGACAGATTCACATCTGAATCGGCTTGGCTTCATCTGGTATAAACACGCTTTCTCAGTGCGTCCCATACCCTTGTCACTCATACTGACTGGGTATTGTTTCTGTTTTTCACCCCCCGCCAGTCTCTCTCACTACCTCTTCCTGCTGTAATTGTCTCTCTTTCCCAGCCTCTCTCCTTTTTGTTCTTCCTTATCTCTCCTATTTTTTCCTACCTCGATTTCCTCTTATTTATTCACACCTATCTCTATATTTTTATGTTGCTTTTATTGTTTTCCTTCAAAAGAATAAAAAGGACATATGTATATATGTGTATTATCTTTCAAATAATTATCAAATCAATCTATAGCTTTAACTTGCTTTTATCTCATATCAGACCTCATTTATTTTTATAGTAAAACACCTAATTATTAAAGATTCCCAATCCTAGTCAGGTGTGGTGATTCACACCAGCAATCCCAGCACTTTGAGAAGCCAAGGTGGGATTGCTTGCACCTAGGAGTTCGAGAACAGGCCAGGCAACATAGTGAGACCTTGTCTTTATTTTTAAAAAGAATTATTTTTAAAAAGCAAAAATAATCATAATAATAGTAAGATTCCCGATCTTAACATGTAAAATCATAGGACTATTTACAATGCAGCCAGTTTATATTGCTAAGTAAAAAAAAAAACAAGGTACTACCACTTACATAAGGAGAAATATGAATATAATATCCATATTACTTGTATTGCTAAAAATAACACTAAATATTTGCAATCAGTTACTTATAGGGAGAGGTGAGAATAGGATAAGTAGAGAAGACAGGAATGAAAGCATAACTTCTCTGAAGATAAATACAGTTTTGAATTTGGAATTATGTAAATATTTTACATATTCAAAAGTAAACAGACCAAAAATAAAAAAGCAATCCCTAAAAATTGAAAAGAAATGGAAACAAATCTCACTGCTTTTTAAATTGGTGACACAAACACACAGAGAAAAGAAGTATCTCAAGATATTTTAGAAATCCACATTTTGACTGCATACAGTGGAATATATCATTAACATCAAAGAAAACTGCAAAGAAGTTTAACTTTTATTCAGTAGGCTTACTGTTAGTGATTCTCATATTAGTTGAAACTATTTTTGTGTATTACAGGATATAGCAAGTAATAAATTATTCTTAAAAATGATTTTCAGCTGGGCTCGGTGGCTCAGCCTGTAATCCCGCGCCTTTGGGAGGCTGAGGTGAGTGGATTGCCTGAGCCCGCAGGTTCGAGACCCACCTGGACAGCGAGACCTCATCTCTACAGTAAATCAAAAAATCAGCTGGGCATGGTAGCGCATGCTTGTAATTCCGGCTATTCGGAAGGCTGAGGCGAAAGGATCGCCAGAGCCCAGCAGGTCGAGGCTGCGGTGGCCGGGAGCAGCCACTGCACTCCAGTCTGGGCGACAGAGTGAGACTCCAACTCAAAAAAAAAAAAAAAAAGATTTTCAGTGGAAAAGAGTTACAAATATAAAATAAACAAGTTTAACTAAAAATAAGATAATGTTAACTTCAGCTAGGAAAAAAATATCAATAATGATGTTTATTTCCCTTAGAAATATATAGTCCCTAATTCTTTCCACTGAAAAGTCCTAAAATCAATAAAAACATAATAAAAATAAGCAACCTCAACACTCATACAGAGGTCTCTAAAAACCATTCTTCGCTAAAAGGAATCAGTTCTTTTGAGAAATGCTGAATTAATTCTGAATGTAACTTCATTTTAAATATTTAGTGAATGTCTGATTTCATTCCTCAAAAGAGCTCTGGTGTAAAAAAAAATGAACAGGATGAGAAGGAAAAAAAAGCAGACGAGGGGAAAAGAGACACCTCTGGTTTATAGGTAAAACAAGGTGATAAATAACAACAGTGAATCTAGCTTCATATCAATTTATATAGTGAGCATTACTGTCTATCCAAGATGGTATGAGGAACTCTCTTGCAGAGACAGGCAAATACTCTGTTTTGAGTGACAACGCGATCTTCTTCTTCTTTTCTTAATCTATAGACATCCTTTTGCAAAGCAGCAATAGCTTCTTTTTGCTCTGTTTGTTTTTTCTTGTAATGCTGGCATTTTGCCTGTGAGAAATTTTTAAAAAACCCAGTTACAATATATACATTTAGAACATACTGTCCTAACACAATACACAAAGGCATCTTTGCAGTTTCTATTGAGTTGTTTGATGTAAGAATTTCAGCACTGAGGCTGTTTTTAAATGGGTGTATGCTCCAAGAACATTAATATGTCACAAACCTGAACAAAAAAATAAGTAAAATAGCTATAAAATGGAGAACAGATGGTTTGTTTATTTTTATTTTTTTAGAGATGCGATCTGGCCACGTTGCCCAGGCTGGTCTCAAACTTCTGGGCTCAGGCAATCCTCTTGCCTCAGTCTCCCAAAGTGCTGGGATTACAGGCATGAACCACCACAACTGGCTAGAAATGACGGTTTATAATTGCATGCATTTCAGATTTTTTACTGAACAAAGGAACTTAAAATCTCAAGAAAACTGATATAATTTTATGTTTTAGTTTAGATGAAAACAAAAATCAGAAAAGAACGCATGTTAAATGTTAAAAAGAGCCAGCAAATAAAATTAAGTTTCTTAAATTGTCACTAACAATTCAGGATTGCAGATGCTGGAGTCAACTCAGGCATTCATGCCACACGGGACACCACAGACTCCTGAGTCCATAACCGGGAAGTTATAATCAGGGAAAACGACATCACCAAAATGGCAGAGTGGAAGTAACGTGACTTCACTTTCCCCAACAGAAAGCCAGAAACAAATTTCCAGTGCTAAGATCTTTGCCAACAATAACCCAGAACTCAAGTCTGAGAATGATACCGTCCCTGGAGCTACAGAGAAATGAAAGCATTCCAAGCAGGTGGTAAGAGAATCAGACTTCTTTATCTGTGATGCCTTGTCTCTTATCTGCAAGGTGCTGTCTATGGAAAATTTTCTCCAGTCTCGTGTTTCTACACTGGAAAAAGTGAGATCAAGGCTGATAGTCAGCTTCCCCACCATCTTGGGTTCTGTAGGAGAAATACCAGCAGTTCCTGCCCCAACCAGTGGAAAGCATGGAAAGTGCCTGATGGAAGAAAGTCCGCTGAGGGCAGGAAAGACAAGTGAGCAGGCAGGACCAGCAAGGCCAGTCTTCAGACTGCTAATATCTCAGGCAAAGGAGACGCCAAATCAGGGTGGCTGTTCAACAGTACCAAGAAACATGATCTACAGGTGCCCTAGACGTGAGAAACTCTAGCCAGTCTTTGTACACAGCAGGGATATCCCCTAAGGATACCCCTTCTGGGCCCAACAGCACTCTGAATGTCTGCAAGAGCTGACACAAATTTGGGCTTAAGCCACCATCTAGTGCCAAAAAGGAGGCAGTGACCTAGAATAAAGGAAATTTAAGAGGTGAATTGCAAAGAACCTCTAAGTAAACATATCCAAGAAAAACTAAAACAAACCAGACAGCAAAAACTAAAATAAATATCTAATCTTTCAATGCACAGACATAGATACACCTCTATAAGAAACAACAGCAAACAGGGAACCCTGTCTTCCCCAAACGGAAAAAGCAAAGAGTCAGTGACCATCCTAATGAGACAGCGATATGTGAGCTCTCAGAGCAAGAATTCAAAACAGCAGCTCTAAGGAAACTCAGTGAGCTCCAAGGTGATGTAGGAAATCAATTTGGAAATTTATCAGAGAAATTTAACCAAAAGATTGAAATAATAATTTTTAAAAAAAATCAAGCAGAAATCCTGGAACCGAGAAATACATTTGCTGAACTGAAAAATGCATTAGAGGCACTTAACAGCATAATGGATTGAACAGAGGAAAAAAATCAGTGAGCTCAAAGACAGGCTATTTGAAAATACAGAGGAGATCAAGAAAAAAAGATGAAAAGGAAAAAAAAAACCTATAAATTATAAAAAATTATCTCAAAAGAGCAAAGAATCATTGGCCTTCAAGAGGAAGTTGAGAAGGAGCAAAGAATAGAAAGTTTACTCAAAGAAACAATAAAAGAAAATTATCTAAACCTGGGGAAAGATATAAATATCCAGGTATAGAAACATCAGAGATGACTAGATTCAACTCATATAAGACTACCTCAAAGCATATAATAATGAAATTCTCAGATTAAGGATAAAGAGAGGATCCTAAAAGCAGCAACAGAAAATAAGTAAACAACATACAAAAGACCTCTGACTTATCTGGCAGCAAATTTCTTAGCAGAAACCATACAGGCCAGGAGGAAATAGAATGATATATTCAAAGTGTCAAAAGAAAACAAACTGCCAACCAAGAATATGGTACCCAGCAAATCTAGTCTTCAAACATGATGGAGATAAAGTCTTCTCCTGACAAATAAAATCTGAGGCGGTTCATTATCACTAGAGTCCCATCTGATAAGAAATTCTAAAGGGAGTTCTTCAGTCTGAAAGAAAAGGACACCACATGCAAAAACAAAAAACAAAATAAAACAAACATTTGAAGGTATGAAACCCACTGGTAAAAGTGAGTACACATAGTCAGGAGGCATGGTGGCTCATTCCTATAATCCCAGCACTTTGGGAGGCAGAGGCGAGAAAACTGCCTGAGCACAAGGGTTTAAGACCAGCCTGGGCAACATGGCGAGATCTTGTCTATACAATAAATAATAATAAAAAAAAATTAGCCAGGGGTAGTGGCAGGTTCCTGTAGTTCTAGCTACTTGGAAGGCTGAGGGGGAAGGGCTACCTGAGCCCAGTAGGCTGAGGCTGGAGTGCCTGTGATCATGCCACTACACTCCTGCCTGGGTAACAGAGTGAAATTCCGACTAAAAAAAAGTGAGTACACAGACAAACTTACACTACTCTAATATTATGCTATGTAATTCACTCATTTCCCTAGTATGAAGACTAAAAGACAAATCGATTAAAATTAACAACCACAGCAACTTGTTAAGAAACAGACACTACAAAAAAAAAGCCAGAATGTAGGGGAATGAAGTTAAATGTAGGTTTAACTTTGTGATCAAAGACAAGTTATCTTTAAAATAACTTAGTATCTATAAGATGTTTTTGTAAGTTTCATGGTAACCACAAAGCAAACCTCATAATGGATACACTTAAAACAACAACAACAACAACAACAACAACAAATTAAAACATCTAACCAAAAAAGAAATAAAATCACTTAACTACAAAGGAAAACAGTAAAAAAGTAAGAAAGAAGTTACAGAACAACCAAAAACAAGTGACAAAATGGCAGCAGTAAGTCCTTACTTATCAATAATAACACTGAACATAAATGGACTAAATTCTATAATTAAAAGAGATTATCTGAATGAAAACAAAAAACAAAATAAACAAGACCAAACTATATGTTGCCTACAAGAAATTCACTTTACCTATAAAGACACACATAGACAGAAAGTAAAGAGATAAAAATAAAACAAAAATGGATTAAAGATTTAATTCTAAGACTTGAAACCATAAAACTACTAGAAGAAAATCTGGAGGAAATGCTTCAGGACATTGGTCTGGGCAAAAGTTTTTTGTGTAAGACTTCAGAAGCATAGGCAACCAAAGCAAAAACAGCCAAATGGTAAAAAGCACAGCAATGAAAACAATCAACAAAGTGAAAAGAAAATCTACAGAATGTGAGAAAATATTTACAAACTATCCATCTGATAAAGGATTAATAACCAGAATATATAAGGAACTCAACTTAATAGCAATAAACCAAATAATCTAATTTGTACGATGAGCAAAGGATACGAAAAGACATTTCTCAAAAGAAGACGTATGAACAGGTATATGAAACAGGTATATGAAAAATGCTCAACAACACTAATCATCAGGAAAATGCAAATCAAAACCACAATGAGAATACTGTCTCACTCCAGTTAGAATGGTTATTACCAAAAGACAAAATATAAAGGTTGGTGAGGATGTGGAGAAAGGGGAAACCCTTGTACATTGTCAGTGGGAATGAAAACTGGTGTAGTATGAAGGGTCCTCAAAAGACAAAAAATAGAACACCATATGATCCAGCAATCCTACTTGAGGTGATGAAGATCCCAATTAACCTGAGTTGATAATTATACATTATATAAATGCATCAAAATGTCACACGTACCCTCAAAATGTATACCACAATTATGTATTAATTTTTTTTTTTTGAGTTGGAGTCTCACTCCGTCGCCCAGGCCAGGATGCAGTGGCATGAATGCTCACGGCCACCCCAGCATCGACCTTCTAGGTTCAGGCAATCCTTCTGCCTCAGCCTTCCAAGTAGCCGGAACTACAGACACACACTACCACACCTGGCTATGTTTTATTTTATTGTAGAGATGAGGTCTCGCCAAGTCCACACCCGGCTAATTTTTGATTTATGGTAGAGATGAGGTCTCGCCAAGTCCACACCCGGCTAATTTTTGATTTATGGTAGAGATGAGGTCTTGCCAACTTGCCCAGGCTGGTCTCCCAGCTGAGGGCTCAGGCGATCCTCTCACCTCGGTCTCCCAAAGTGCTGGGACTATAGGCGTGAGCCACCACGCCTGGCTCACTTCTTCTTAGCTAAACACTTATCCACTTATTACTCACTGTAGCCATAACATTTACTGTTTGAGGTGTGACAGCAAAATTTGAATGAATTTCTTTTTCCTTTTTTACAATATCATGGATGGAAGATTCATTCTTACCATGGATCATAGCAACCTTGGCATACAATTCTTTCATTTCCTTAAGTCAAGCTTTCACCTTTTCACTTAAAGGAAGCACTTTACAGCTTCTCTTTGGCATCCAAATTATCAGCTTCACTACTCTTGTATTTTGGGTTCATTATTAAGTAAAATACAGGCGACTTGAATACAAGTTCTGTGATGCCACTACAGTAGATCTGATAACAAAGACTAAGTAACTTAGTTACTAAGTAACTAATGGGCAGGTAGCATATACAATGTGAATAAGGTACACAAAGGGATGATTCACATCCTGGGTGGAATTGAATGAAACTGTGTGAGATTTCTTCATGCTACTCAGAACAGTGTGCAATTTAAAATTTATGAACTGTTTATTTCTGGA